ACATATGTAAATGCGATTAAATTCACACTCTATTTGCATATAATTGTCAAAGTATGGTACACAGAGAGAAACGATACATGCTCGGCCGAGAACTTAAACGATACACAAAAGTTGCGATTTCTTTAACCAGTGTCCAATCTCAGCAAGTTGACGCGAAGTCTTAGGAGCAACACGTTCAGGATTAAATGCAACTCGCGTTCACATCGGTCGCGTAAATCTCGCAGCCGAGATAGCCCGCGAACGTGCGTTCGAGGTTGTCTTCGAGTGGTAGAGGCAGTACGGACGGTATTTGAACCTCGGCGACTGCTACCGCATTCGTACTTGACGTGCTTTCGCAGACTGTTCTTCCGGTTGAAAACGTCGTAGCAGTTCCGGCAGGGAAGCTTGACTTCGTGCCGTGGCGTACAACCCGAACGCGTCTTGGCCGAGGAACGACCGGTCGGAGAGAAAGATCTTGTCTGCAAGCAGAAGAGAGGAGTGCAAGACGCGACCAACAGTCGACACGCGACGCGTTCTCCACCCGATGAGCGAGAGCGAGGTGCTGAAGGAAAATTAAATACGGCCCGCGTTGGAGAAGTGACATTTCTACGGACGTGAAGCCGAGATGCGGAGGAGACCGTCTGAAACATCCGTCTGCGAATCGCGCCTCGCAAAGGTTGAGCCGCGGTGAAGAAAGTTATCAGCCGCGCGTCTCTCATCTTGCGTCGAAAGTGCGACTACGGGATTTTAAGAGCGGACAACGGTACCCGAGAGGGGCGCGCTTCGGCGGACGTTTCACTTCTCCTTCAGGTCGATTGACCAGACTATCTCGCCGCGATGCCTACGGCGCACGTGCTTGTAAAGATTCGATATCAGTTTCGACCGGTGGTTACAGTAAGGGCACTGGAATCTCGGCGACTGGCCGCACTCGTAGTTTTGGTGTTCCCGCAGACCCTTTCGTCTCAAGAACACGCTCGTACAGTTCGGACAGGGAAACGCCTGAACGCTCTCGCTTGTCCTCCCAGTAGACCTGAAAACTAAAAGCACAAGCCCTTGTTAGAGGATTATGCCCGTGTAACTACTTGATATCGAGAGAGAGATTGGGCGAGAAGAGCTCGATTTCCAAGCTCCGGCAAAGGTCGGCGCGTTACGCGCGGATTTTCGACCGAGGGTAGCGACCGACGAGAGAATCTGGGTCCCTGCAGGATTCAATAGTTTGACCCTTTCGTTACGAGAAACATTCGGTCCAAAACGCGCACTGTAGGTGGTAAACGCTCAGCAGCGACTTTTCGCCAGTACGTATCCTTTAATGCTGAATTTATAGAAGTCGTTGAAATGCTAAATTTTTTTTTTGACAATAAGGAGAAAACATTTTTACAAATTCCTATTTTTTATTCCATTCTGCAGTATTAGTATAGTTGCAATATTTAATGCAAAATAAAAAAATATTTAGTTGTTAAACCGTCGTGGACAAAACATAATAAATGCTGAGCGTCTATAGGCGTCTACAGTCCATAATGAACGGCGTTAATAGGCGACACCAATAAAAAGATTAATTTAAGTTCGCATGAAAAAAAAGACACTACGTTATATTATAAACCTAAATAAAAATTATGAACAATTTCCCGTCAGGATAGCACAAACGATTGGCTCGGGAATTAACGATCACGAATCTTTTGGAGGATCTGCGTCAAATTCCGCTACATGAAACGACATGGTAGACACGATTAACTAATGAACGAGGATCATGAGTTGGATTGAATCGGACAATCAGCATTGGTAACTGATTAAAAGCTTGCTCGGGATTTTATGGAACTCGGAATAAAATATCACATTTATTATGGTAACGTTTGATGAACGACACGTGTGTTGTATCAGAAATTGGACGAATGTTGAATGTCGTGGACGCAAACGACGCAGTTCTTGTGCTTGATCCGTATATGCCGTTGCACGTTAGACGTTTTCTTCGAGACGTAACCGCAGTAGGGACACTTGAACCGAGGCGGCTGGCTGCATTCGTATTTCAAATGTTTCATCAGGCTGTTCTTCGCATTATACACGCTCGTACATTTCGTGCAGGGAAATCGCATGCTTCGGTTTAATTTTTTAGAGCCGCCGTTCGCGCCTCTCGTCAATCCGAAGGACGCACAGAAACCTGAAAATGAAAACCAGTGTCAGAAGATATCGGCGTTCAACACTCTCTTTATTCTCGCCGTCTGTCCAAGGTTTAAGAGGATCCCTTAGCTTTGATGGTGTGCGCCATCTAAACACGAAACGCAGCATACATGAGCACACGGACACACTACTACGATACATCACACCCACACATAAATACGAAAGTTTAATACTAACTATACTCTTATTTTAAACGTCTAATCCCAATTTAGAGGGTTTCACAGTAATTCTACATGTCATCGAATCCTGAGAAACTCAGTTTCATGTGAGTACAAGTTGTAAAACTTTTATACGAAGCACAAGTATGACGGAGTGACAGCTCGCGTCTACAAAGTTATGTGTGATCGATTATATGAATTTTGTAATTTTTACTCATTTTTGGTATAAAATTGGAGTTTCTCGGGATCATCAATGCATATACTGTAATTGTACGCAAGCATTTTTGATTCCTTGACTGAGTAAAAGTACAACGTATTGTAATAATAAAAATCGTTGGATAACTATTTTCTTCAACTAATTAAATTGAACCTCATCGTCCTTCATTGCAACAGTGATAGTATTACGATTTCATCTTGTACTCGAATTTGAAAGTCCTCAATTTTAATTGCTCAACCAACATTATTAAAATAATAAAGAATTTTAGTAAATATGGAAACGACCATACTGGCAATTCTTTATTAAAATAAAACACAACGTTTCGGCCAGTAATACTGGTCCTCCTCAGGTAACAAACTTACAAGAGTGCCTACAAATGTCAGATTCGTCAGATTAGAGATGTGAAAATTAAGTTAGAAGTCAAAAATTTCGTTGTACAATGTGTCTAGTCGTCAACGTTAGAAAACAGAATTAAAATAATAATATAAACAAAATTAAAAAAGATTTTTCTAAAATGCACACAAACTTCAGAATGTAAACGCATTGATAGCATTATACTTGCGTTTCATATATTTGTTTATATTGCAGAAGTACAATGTATACACGTATATATATATAAATATTAAATTGCGTCGTCAATCAAATATTAATTTACGTTCGTCAATAAATATAACCGCATTGGTATCGTCCTGTATATGTTTCCTCTCTCACAGATAGATATACTTATTGTGCAGCTGTACTTATTGTACAGAGAGAATATTCATTACTCGACAGATGTCCTGGACGTAGACTGTATAACCCTCGTGCTTTCGGCGAATGTGCTTCTGTATGTTCGACGATTTTTTCGAAATTAGATCGCAATAAGGGCACTTGAATCGAGGTGGTTGGCCGCATTCGTATCTCAAATGCGTGAGGAGGCTCTTCTTCTGTCCGAACGTGCTTGGACAATTAGTGCACGGATACCTCGTGCTACTTCCCACGTTGCTCCAGTCCCGATAACGGTGCCTGACGCTCTGCCTATGTTCTATCCCTAATATCGGCGAGGATACTTTCATCCCTGAAAAGCATCACGTGTCAATTAATATCGCGCACCCTTACAGAATACGGTTTAAAGACATACAAAAAGGAAACACCGAAAACTGATTACTGAGAAAAATTTACGCAACTTGCAAGGAAAACTTTTTTCAATCTTTTAATTTACAGCCGCTTAAGCTAGTTTTAATTTCGTTATGAGAAAAGCATCTTTATAGTTGTTAGAAAGTTAACTCCACAGGAATGAAGAAAGTAAGAACTTGGGAAGTTCTCAGGAAATACTGTGGGTTGAATGCGAGTATGTAAAAAAAAATTTTTATTTCAAACATTTTGATAACAAATTTCGAAGAAGTATATAAGTATGGGCATAAATTCTTCCGTACATACAGCCCTGGGCAAAATGATACTTATATATTATATTGTGCTGAACCTAAAATCAGGAAAAGACTTTTCTTGAACAAAAATAATAAAAAGAAATTGTCGAAAGTAAGCGACGTTTTATTTCCTTCAAAAATAAATATCATAAAAAAATTCTTTTTATTTTAATAGGGTGTCCAGAATAATTTTGGCCAAGGCTGTAAATAGCGAAATAAGTATTATACACGACTAGAGCATTTGACCGCGCAATTATCGCTGTAAATTGCACAATTGTAAATAAATCATATAATTAACAATTGCGTATGATATGTTATACATTAATTTCCGTGGACCTCAAGAAACCAGCTTTCATTCATAGCATAATATGTAACGGTGTTCTCTCTTCACTCACATTTATAATTATTAATATAATTTTTCTAACCCTTCAACAAAATACGTTTTCAAGAAACTCGTCTACGAAAATGTTAAAATCGCTGTGAAAAATATATATACACACATTTTAATATATTTTCTTAAACAAGTTACCGATCGCCATCAAACAAGTTACAACAGTAACACATCAAGAAACATAATTATTCGAAAAAACTTAACTTGTATCTATCTACTTAATATGCATCTAATGTATCACTCTCCTAATTAGCAAGAAACAAAATTAATCATACAACACAAAACATATTTGTTGAAATATTTACTAATACTCGAAAAAAATCGTCAAGTTATTTAAAAGTAATGGCCAATTTATCATATCAACTGCAATACTACTACACCCAGCTGGTGAGTCGGAAATGTCGAAAATTTAACTTTTAATTGATTGCAATTCTTAAAACAGTGTTAACACCTCAAATTATCCGTACGAATTTCCAACAAGGTAGAAAACTTTACGACGATGCAATTCGACTTCACAATATATCTTCCTATAGACAGTTCATTCTGCTATTTCCCAGGTATATACTCGTTATAAAAAGCATATTGCTTCAAGCTTGTGCAGCAGCTTCGTTAATCGCGCAAAGTATTCCTGTAGAAATCCCTGCGCTCGGTTTCTTCGTCAACGGCCTGCGTCTTCAGCAACGTACTCTCGATAGCTGCTTGTAGAGATCGATGATCTGCAATTTCTTGTCTTTGTGCATCCGTCGCACGTGCACGTACATGTTCGACGAGAACTTGGCCTTCTTCGTGCAGTATGGGCACTGGTACCGCGGTTCCTTGCCGCATTGAAACTGGCAGTGCGTCTTCATGTCGGAGAGTCTGGTGTAACCGCTGTTGCATCTGGGACAGTGGAACTTCTTCCTCACGATCGAACCCTGCACGACCACGCTGTCCGGCCAGCGGGTCGTAGGGATTGGCGCTACGGCGGTTTCCTGACGATGAGTCGAGTCGACGTAAAGATACGTGCTCTCCTCCGTATCCTCCATCGCGTTCAGGCTGTCACCTCGGGGCTGATAAGGCTCCGCGGTCACGCCACGACCAGGCATTACCTGGGGATGTGCGTAAGACGGCGGGTGCATCTGCCCGTAAAGCGGATCTAGAAAAAGAATTGAAAATTTCGGGCTGCAGTTAGCGAGATCACCGGATCTGAGTCACGACATCGGGATAGAGAGAAACATTTCCGTCCATGCTCTTCGATCATCTACATAAATCGAGACTCGCGGGAATCGAGCCTCGTGTGTATCACACTCACACACAGAAATATGGATTACTACGAAATTAAATAAAAGTAAAGGGGCCATCCGTCCGTATACTTCTGGAGCCGATCTGTCGACATCTGGAAATACTGTATAGAGTGATATATCGGGCACATTGATTTGTCCAGTTTATTTATAACATTTGAAAACAATTTAAACACACGGTCAACAATAATATTTTCTATCAGAAATACGCTACAATAGTTAATTTGCATATTTTATTTTTAACTCTAGGTAATACTTTATCTCTATCATTTTGTGTATATATACATGTCGATTTTTGAGGTCTCTGAATACTTCAAAATTCAGATACTTCATGATAATCTGCTAAATAACGTAAAATAAAAACATATGAAACATAAAGACACAATATACACGAGATTGATCTTTTCTTAGACATAATGTTCCTCTTGATATATCGAAACTGTCAAGCAGACGTTCTCCGATCGATGGAGAACCCCACTGTCTCATTGCTTGCTCAAATCTATTATGTACATTGGTTGATCGCTGTGCATAGTGCGCACGTGCGCGTACATATTTGACGACACCTTCGACCGTTTATGGCAATAAGGGCATTCGAATTTCGGCTCTTGACCGCATTGGAAACGCATGTGCTTCTTCATGTCGCCCAGGTACTTGTAACTGTTGCCGCACTGGGGGCACAGATATCGCCGGTGCCCTTCCTCCCGCTGTTGCTGCCGCTGCAGTTTTGTCGCGTTCTCGGGATACCAATCGGACCCGAAGGTGTCGTAACTCTGTAACGATGAAGCATGAAGGCCGAAATGTTGCTCCAACGACGACTCGATGGAATAATCGGGATTCTGCTTCTCCTGATACGGAACAACCCCTGAAAAAAGAACGATCCCCAAGAGGATAAACCTCGATAAATCTTGTCCATGAATATTACAGATAGGAACAGTTATATTGTCTCTCAAACGTATTTGGTAAATGTAAATCTCGTTGTATTAATATAATGATGAAATGAAAGATGTTATTTAATACTAAAAATGGGTACCGCATAAATGTATATCAAGTTTTTCAGCACAAAATCATGTGTACAGATTTTATGTATACATACTGTAAACAATTTTCAATATTATTCTAAGAATTTTATTAATTAGACAATGAAAGTCATGATATCAATTTTAAGCCGTAGTGGATTCTGTCGTATATGAATTATTAATGACTGAAGGAAATCTTATAAGTCGCCAGAAGTAATTAAAAACTTCAGAAGATAGATTATAAGATTTCTTCCAGTCATTTATTACACACCATTGACCTCAAACATGGTGGCTTCACACACTGACGGCTTCTCCCCAAACTATCATCAAGGAATTCATTACCAAACAATGCTACTAAAATCTTGAATTGACTCTAACAACAGACTTCGTAGATCAAATCAAGAACTTATTTTTCTACTGCGTTGTAGAAGATCAGATCTACTTCCACGACACCTAAGGAATATACAGCTAGATTTCCACTTTCACAACAACCACACCAAATCACTTGAGAAGGACCACAAACCATGGTTGAAACGTTGTAAGTTTAAACATAAAAATTTGCCAGGCATGGTCAAATAATCTTCTGAAGTTTTGAATTATTAATCTTATTGTTAGTAATATTTATTCCATATGAAACAAAAATAAAAAGAAAGAAAAAGAAAGAAAAAGAACGAGAACAAGAAACACAGTTAGAAAGTCGCTAAAAATAAAAAACATATCCTTATCGTTAGCTATTTGACAAAATAGTATCGTAAATGCCAGTTTACTAGTCAACTTTAACTTTTAAAACTTATTAAGATACACGTAATATTAACGTAAACGGAACAACATTTGGCATATATACATATAATTCGTAAATCGTTCGAAGTCGTCTAACACATACATACAAATGGCAAACAGTATATTTTTAACAAATAAGAAATGACCAGATGACTCGTTTCTCACATACATATCTCGTAATTTATCGTAATTTATAGTAATATATTATAGCACGAAATGTTTATACAAACGTTTACACATACATTTTCGGGAAAAAAATGAATTCCCGATCAAAGTCGATATCTAACGAGTGCAATGTCGCTAAACAATCTTGAAAATTTATCTCTCACTTATTATCCCAGAACGAAGAGCAGCCAAACGCCAAATAACTCTATAGCTTACTACATTTCATACAATGTTATCAGACATGCGGATAATTGTATGTAAAAAGTGAGCTTCCGTTTGCGCTGAATATCATGTGTTGTTGCAAACATTTTCCGGAGCCGATTTTGCATGACTTATCACACCTGAAAAAATCCAGTTTCGCCGAATAAATATGTGAATACCAACGAAATTATTAGTCGACCAAGTAAGATTGACAGAAGACCTGCGAACTTGATGACTATTGAATTTGTACTTGTACGAGGAGCAGACAAGTGGGAAATAACATGAATATTGCATACGTAGTAATCCTAGTGTATCTATTTATTTGCCCGAATACATTTTTAGAAAGATCTGAAAAGATTATAAATTGCCGTAACTTTAAAAGAGCTTAACATAAAAAATTTTAGCAATTAACTTCTAATTAAATATTTATTATTAACTATTTATTATCATAATATCATAAGCAGTGCGTTGACATCTGTACATTACTAACTCTTTTACAATGCACACAAAGAAAATTATTAAACCAAGTATTAGATAGAAAAAACAGAACTGTAAATTTACTGCAATCAGAAGAAGAAACAAAAAGTTTCATTAATTAACAAGCATAATAAATAAGATGGCATAAAAATGATAAATGTAAATATGTATTAGCTTTATTAGCAATTAACACACAGAAACTTTGAATATAAAATTATAAATGATGATGAGCGCATGCATGTACATATACACTCAAAAATGAAAACGTAATTTAAGGATAATAACATAATAACGTAATTTAAGGATAATAACATAATTAGGTTGCAGCGAGAGTCACAATTAATTTTTCGCCATTTCTTTCTACTATAATTCTTTTCTTTCCATAGAAAATAAAAATCAAGTTAACCATGACTAACCCAACAAATACGACACATAAATGCTTTAAGTAAAACTTATTATCTATATAATCGTGAAATAATTTATTCATACTCACGGGAAGAATTTCTTGTCTCGTTTATTAAGAAAAAAAAAGAACAAACTTACATTTATTGTGTTGCGCATATTATGGATGGTGAACTGATGAAATAAATGTAAATTATTTCATGTGAAAAAAAATAAGAAAAATTTTGCTCCAAAAATTAAAACAAACTTAAGAATTCACGAATTAATACACTTTCCATGAATGAGAAATAAAAAAATAAAGAAATAAAGATCCCATGAAGATACAAGACAGAACGTTTTTTCAACCGATTATTAAATGCTTAGTTACTCTTAAACAACCGGACTCTAATCAAGAGATATATAGCTTAACATTATTCTGTTTAACTTAATCTGAGTCTATGCTAGAGTCATCAATGAAGAGTTCGTCCGGCGATTCCTTCTTTACAATTTTATTTCGGCTTTTCACGCAATGTTTCTGCTTATGACGCTCCGTAATGACTGCTCCTCGAAAAGTCTTGCCGCAACCCGAACACATTATCGTCTTGTTGCACTCGTGCTTCTTGTGATACCTCAGGGATTTCGCATGCGTATAACTGCGACCACAGTCACATTTGAACTTGCCGTTGTTCTGATTGACTCTGGAATCTGGATTCATCAAACACGTCGTCACGATGTGTTGCACAAGGCTGCTGCGGCAATTGCAAAGGTAGTCACAATACGGGCACTTATGTTTCTTTCTCAATTTTTCGACGTCCTTTGAATTAGTCCAAGACAAAGCGTTCTCGTTATCGCTGGCCTCGGTGGTCTGGCTATCGTTTAAAGATATAATATTGGGAAGCTTAGAAGAGTTTTGGTCAATGTTCGATGGATTTCGCGCAGTACTCGTTGAAGGCTGGTCGTTAACAAAACTATCTTTTGTGTTTCTTAAAGATCTGTGCCTTTTCTCTAGTGGCTCTTCTTTCTGATTCAATGGTTCTTCTTTCTCCTCCGATGACCTTTCTTTCTTTATCGACCTTGTCTCTACTCTCTGCGATTTTTGCGACAGCAATTCTGACTTCCCTGTTAGTATTTTTATCTCTTGCGATGGCTCTTTCTCTGCAACACGGTGGGTATCTACGAGTATGCAACACGACGAATTTTGCGAGGACTGCGACAGCTCGTTTTCCCTCACTGCTAGAATTTTTACCTCCTGCGATGACTCTTCCTCTGTAACACGATGACAAACAAATGTTTTAAGAAAGAAATGTTAATAAAAGTTTTTAACGTGTATCGCTGACGGGTTAGCGAAAATTTTCTTCGTTGTAGACAATAGAAAATTATCGTAACCAATTCTCGATGTAATAACAAAAAAAAGAAGAAAAGATAAATAAAAACTAAAATCGCATGCAAGCCCATTGTAGCCGCGAAGAATATACGGGAGGAGGAGATGCTAGATCAGTATAGTTTTTAAGAAGCGCAAAACAGTTACCATGAGAACTTTTTATTGTCATAAAATTTCAATCTTATTAATCACGTGTCACTTAAATGTGAGCACTCCGTGTGAAATACGAAAAGATATAATAAAATCAGCTTAGAAAGTTTTCGTAACTATCAAAAACAATCGACGTCCTCTCAGACCGCCTATCAGTAATCTTCAATGTCGCTGCGGTTGGTTTCGAACAAATAATCTGAAAGCAGAGAAATACGGATCAGCAAAAGTACCATCGTCACGTGTAAGATCTGAAGGCAAAGAAAGGTGTTTTGTAGGAATCCGTAAGGAATCGCCCGCACGTGTGATATGTCGGCAAACAGGACGTTTCCCCAAGTGCCGAACAGAAATGCGACGTCGTTGAGGTGAATGTTCCTGCGGAAATTCAGGCGTCTGTACTTAAATGGGATAAAAAAGAAAGGAGAATAGTTTTTCGTTTTAGAAATATTATATATAATTTATATACATATATATATATATTCATCGTAACGTATCACAATAATTCTTTGACTTGGTATTCAGTTGCACTATAAACGATACGCGCCATACGGCGACGTATATACTGCACTTCGGCATATCGATAAAAATATCTCAACGGAAACCTATCCTCTGAGAAACGTCTCGCGGTATCGACACGAGATTTGAAAGTTCTTTGCCGCTCATTTCGCAAAACTTCAAAGTTCCCCCTGGTCTATTAATCGTCAAAAAACGTGTTAAATCCTGGCCGCTGTCTTCCTAGATATCGATAACGAGGGAAGAGATCGTGCGCGACTGATTTCGAAAACGTCTTCCGATCAAAGTCGTGGTACAGCTCGGGGTGTCACGCGCATTAGCAAAGCTGGAAGTTGCACGGGGCTCTCTGACGGTGCCTTCGCAGGCTGCTGCTGTGCAGAAACGTCTTGCCGCAGATGTTGCACTTCTGCGTGCGGCCGCACTCGTGCCGCACGTGGAAGATGAGGTGCGACTGCTTGGAGTAGCAAGCGCCGCACTGCGTGCAGGAGAACGGTCTGATCTTCTGCGACTGATGGCAGGTGGACCTCGGGTTCCAGTAGCAGGAGCTCTTCTGATGGCTCCTCAGATGGCCGGACTGCGTAAAGCCTTTGCCGCAGTACTTGCAACTATACTTTCTCTTGGTGCCTTCGCCGCGCGTCGAATTATTCGCGCCTAGCTCCAATTCTGCAACACGATTACCGTTCCGTCAATCGATTGCGCTCGTATTTGAGCGAACATACACAAAATTAATGAAGCGATTCTCTCTGATGGAATACGTTTATTTGCAGCTCGTGGGTTACAAAAATAAATGTTCAATTTAATTCAATCATTTGCGGTCGGAAGTCGAGTAATTAATCAGCACGATACTCGTTCCATTGTTCTTTGACGATGCGCAACATTAATAATTCATTGTTGTTAACAATTTAAAAGATTATTGGAAGTTTAAGAAATAAGAAATGTTCGTAAGTGCCACCGTCTTACAAAATTTTTATATCAACCGCAAAGGACTAAAGTTTTTCTAATAAAAAGCTGTAAGATGTATCTCATGCGTACAAATGAACGAAAGGCTGGTCCCGTCACATCAAAATGGACTGGAAAAATATGCTGCGTACTCGCAATATGCCCCACGCACGATGTCTCTTTGCAGCGAGAAGAAAAGAAATACAATACCACTTACTCCCACATTGGCTGTTAAAATGTCTCGGTTTAATGTGCACAGCGTATTAGTGATGGTATCATTGTTGCGTTTCAAGATGCAAAAAATATTTAGTGACATTGTTTTAATTTACATTACGTACATGTAAAGGGTAATGCAGCTTTGGAAAATAAAATAGATATACTTGATTTTCAAATACGATATAATTACAAAGCGCATGGTAGATTAGGTGAAGTAATAAACAGTGTCTGGCGTTTCTAGTGCACCAAAATTATTTTGTATAATAAAAGAGAATCAACTCGATAAGCATTTGTCGTAGAAACGAACAAGTTGTATATTAAATGAATGATTCATTTAAACCTAAAAGAGATCAGAAAGAACCGATAAGACCAGTAAACGCTGACAGTTACGTCCAACGCAGTCAATCGAGTATTCACAACATATACACGCAAAGTATGCAGAATCGATAATCCAAGTAGCCTCGAACGGATTTTACAATCAATACCCCAAGTTGAAGAGGTTGCTACTTGGATGTAACGCACGACTTCTTGTGCCTGACCAAGCTGTTCGTTTGCAAAAAAGTCTTGCCGCAATCGTCACACTTCATTATTTTACCACAATCGTGACGCACGTGCCATATCAGGGAATGCTGATTCGAGTACGAGGCACCGCATTTGGAGCACGAGAAAGGTTTTGACTCCTGCACGTGACAACGCATGGAACTCGGGTTCCAGTAACAGTTCTTCCTCAGATGTGTGAAAAGTTGGCTTTTATGGGTGAAGCTCTTGTTGCAGTACTTGCAGGTATACCTTCGAACGACGGGCGTGCGGAACTCTACAACACAACAACCAACATGGTACATCGTTAGTGCTGGTGTTCTAGTTGCGACTTAATTAAGGAAAAACTCGTTGAGCAACCTAAAAATTCCAAAAATCATAAAAATAACTCCCAACGCATGTCATAGACAAACATATAAAGTGCAGACTGAAACAATTAAGAAATCAAAAGGACAATAAAACTAAACAAACTCCGTTTGACCCTAGACAATTTGTCACAATACCATACATAAAAAACTTAAGTGATAATATTAGCCGCACATTTAATAAGTGTGGCATTCAGACAATCTTCACTGTCCCAAAAAAACTTAATAATATAATAAAAAAAGGAAAAGACAGATTACCCAACAAGAAACAAACTGAATTAATCTACAAAATCAATTGTGTTGATTGTAATGCGTGTTATATAGGTGATACCCGAATTAAAGAACACCTCAACGACATAAAGAAACATGACAACGACCACTCAGTAGTTAGCAAACACCGCACCACACTTGGACACGAATTTCAGTGGTCCGACCCCCAGATATTACATAAAGAGAGAAATCTAAGAAAAAGAGAGGTTGCTGAAATGTTCTTTATAAAAAGACATAGCTATACGATCAATTACCAAAGGGATACCGAAAGTTTGCCAGGGGTATACGAAAAAATCATTGACATCACCTAGGACGCGATTTATATGTTTACCTATTTATTTTTCGGAGTGTTATATTTATTATATTATTTTGAAACGCGCTGAACTATAGGTTCCCTGACATAGCGACGACCTACTTAATTTTAGTCGTATTTCCACAGCGCCACGATGACAATTGCTCAGAGTGAGACAAGCTCCGCGTAATACTAATTTAAATGTACGTATTGAAGTAGCCTATTTATTCATTTATCCGTCCTTATTTATTTAGTTAATTTATTCAACTGCACTTGTTAATTTGTAATTATTTATTTAGTATTTTAATTGTAAGTCCAGTAAGAATCAAATTTGTAAGACAACCTTCATATAAAACTGTTACCCTGCGTCTTTTTGTTTATACAGTGGTGCCCGATGGCATTTAACCACATGCTATGCGCCGTTTGAATTAATTGCACTTGATAAGGGCCAAAACCCATGGCCGAAACGTTGTGCGAATAAAGGAGGTTTTCCTGTTGCCAGTGGTGTCGATTTATTCACCCTTCAATAAAAATAACTTTTTTGAAGAAAATGGCATCTATTTTTATTAATCACTTAAAAAAATTTCAACAGGACTTTAAAGAAGACATACCTATGTCACTTTAAAGTGGCATTATTACTTCAGTATATCTTTCAAAAAGTATAATTATTTCAGTATACATAAAAGTCGAAAAGAATGACAAATCGAAGAAAGGGTAAAATCAAGGAAAACCCAGATAATTATTTTTTTATACTCAAAATTTATTTTTTATCAAAGTATGATGGCATATCACAACATTATAAGTGTGAAAAATAATTATAACGAAATTAGTGCAAACAATAATTACGAATAATTAATCGCGGAAGACAGCGGTCATATTGTGTGCCGTCCTGTGCTCCTCGCAGACGACTTGTGTACAAGTAAATAATAAATGCGAAAATAATACAAAATTAATGCGTAAAATAATTTTTACGACTTAAAACGTTTAAATTGTTTTATTAAATCTCTAATTTGAAAAAGTCAATTGTGTCATCAAGACAAAATGTGAACACTACGGTTACACTGGATAAACGTACCTCAAGTGAGTTTTCGAAGCGCACTGTATTCGACAGACAACCAAAAATTGAGGCTGCCGACCATCTAGCCCCACTTTTTGGGAGTTAAATTGAATTATAATCGACGTTCCAAACTAAAAATGTCACCTCCTAGTTTAAGAACGCACTGTGAAGTAACGCAAGGATGTGAACGTTATCCAGTAGCTGTGTAGAGCATAAAAAAATAACTGAATTTTAAAAATAAAAATAAATAAAAAATAATACAAAATATATAACATAAAAAATTATATAAAATATATAATATAAAACAAATAACAAAATATATTTTTATATATAAAACGTATGTAAAACATATTATATGAGCTATACATGTTTCATATTTAAAAGAAAAATTCAAGTAATTAATAAGTTATTATAACAAAATTATTCATTTTGTGTTTGAACGTTGCCCAGTAGCCCTGGAAGACTAGCTATGCCTGAACCTGGCATTCTAACGATCCTATCAACATCCTGGCCAGGAGAAAGCCCGGATGTTGTTTTGCGATATTGTATCTTTTACTGTGCGGTCAAGCTACCGCTACAAATGCTTCAAGGCGTTTCTCTTCTCCTTTTATCTTTACTGAAAGAAAGGAAAAGAAGAATACTTGAAAGCATTTGCAGCAACAGTTTAACCGCAGCCTTAAGCATCACAAGTCCTTCTCATTCAGACTCAGATATGGCTCATCGTTTGGTTGAATTGCGGATGTTAATGTGAAAAGAACACATACATACAATGTAAATGTACATGGAGGCTTGACAAAATATTAAAAACAATAAACATATATACGTTTCTGCGCAATTACTTTACGCTATAAGTTGGGGCAGTTGTGCTCTAACTGCTTCGTTCATCGACCAGCAGATTGAGCAATTCCTTCGGTTACATTCTATCCAGTGGTAGACGATTGGCCGCAACGTACCACAGTGCGGCACGGTGCAATTGCTGCCGGTTTGACATCTCGGTAGGTGATCTAGGAAATCTTGCATCATTGGGCAGTCCGGCAAGTCCATCATGCATTGTCTCATCCCGTGCGTTGCTTGACTCTCACGTTGTCGACATTTATATGCATGTAAAAGTGGAACAAACCATTGATGTATGAGTCCGGTTAGTTCTGGCATCGATTTTGCATCTAAGTACATCGGATAAAGTATTGAGCGAAGATATTACACGAGTAATACAATTTACAATGGTATAAGATAAACTTACTCGTTGGAATACTAGTACCAGTTTGTCCTTGCGTAGCTTGCTGCGAATCTAGGTGTCCTCCGGTGAACGCACCCGAAGGAGATTGAGTCAAACTTGATGCTGACGGCTGTGCCTGTTGCGCTGTCGTACCATCCTCCTGACCACTACCGATTTTTCTGATCGCAGTACTGCTCGGATCAGCAGAATCGGTAGATCTGCTGGTAGCATCTACCACTAATATGGGGCTCGTATTCGTTCCAACATCTTTTTGTTGCTGTTTAATGATACCAGGATTATCAGCGCATACAACTACTCCTGCTCCTGGTCAAACATTAAAAAGAATGCTCATTAGCACCGAAAGTCAGATCGATTATCGACTTAAGTGAATTTATTGTTCCAACAAAACGCAATGTTTTAAGACCCACAAATAATCGGCGCACTGAGTTTACTAAATTGGAAAAAATATACAAAATTCACCTCCAAACCGAGTATTTAAATTGTTGCAATAAGAGACATAAAGGTTGACATTAAAATTTGAAATCAACAGTCTTCTAGAAACAACACAAAATGTACGGCCATAAAATCACGCCGTTTGTTCAATGCTGTTTTATTTAATTACCTTATTAATCGTTACATTTCTTTTTCTTCTTTTTTGAAAAAGCAAAATAATTGCAGTACAGAAATGGCTGTTTATATTACAACAATCTGTTATTACCTAATATTTTTCAATGCACATTACCATTTACCAAGTCAGACCAAATGCACAGATAAATGTGCATTTGAAAATAGAAAATACTTTCTCGTGCGTGCAACTGAGAAGAGGAAAGAACATAAAAAGGTCCAGTCTGAAAATGCATTCTTTATTTTTGTACAAAATCGAGACGTGATGTACTCATAAAAAATATACACAGTACGATCAAACGCATTTGACGTAGTCATAGCTTCTTTTTTTATCTTTTCTAACTTACAAAAAATACATTTAGTACAAATAATAGATCAAATGGTTGCGTAAGTCTACTCTATATAATAAGAGTAACTTTATTACAAATCTTACAGTCTTAAGTCTTGGCAAGAACATGAATTTTCCCCCATTAACAGTCATAAGCGTACGGCAATGATTACAAAAATACAAAATTGTAAAATTGTTATCAAATTCATGTATTGAGAAAAGTGTTGAACTGAAAAGATATGTCTTGATTTATCTGTATGTTACGATCACGGGCTGTCCGCCAGCAAATATTTGTTAATTCACAAAAATATTCGTTAATTAAATTCGTTAATTAAAAAAATACTGCCAATTAAACATAGTATCAACAACCTCATTCTATAATTAAATAATAATAAAATTTGTGTAACTTCATATAGAATTCAATTAATCTGTTTGTTATCGACTATTAGGAAGAGATCCTCGCCCTTGTGCTTGCGTCTGATGTGCGTGTAAATGTTTGGCGGGTGTTTGCTCTTTAGATTGCAATACGGGCACTGAAACCTCGGCTCGCGGCCGCATGCGATACGCAGATGCGTATCCAGCGTACGCTTGTTCTTGTAGCCCTGCGAGCACTTCGGACACACATAATTTCTCGACTCCTTTCTGTTGCTGCTGTGCCGCTTCTCAATCGAGAACGACGGGTCCATGAAGCAGCCCCTGGTCAGATGACTTTTCACATGAGCTGTCGTCGGGTACAGACTGTTGCAGAAACAGCAACGACTCCCGCTAATGTGATTACTATCTAACAACGGCGCTGCAACAAACAACGACGAGGATTAAAAAGAAAAGTGCTATAGAAATCGATATTCATTGAGATCTCTAACTACTGAACTCGCAGAGGGAGAATAGACATAGAAGATGACAGGACAGCCCTTGGTCCGCATGCTCGGAAAACCTGGAAGATGACCTCGTTTATGCTGATTAGTGCGAAGTAATTTTTATTCGCCCGTTAAACCCTGAAGAGGCACACTTGGCAAGATAACTTGTGGGATTATATCAATGTAATAATGAAGAAATTAATATGTAAGTAGTACTGAACAAATTATTATTTACAATTTATTTTTTAACACTACATTACTCAGAGGCCTCTCTTTTACATATATTCTTTTTATACAATACTTATCTCGAATATTCGTAGTAAAATATAACGATATCTAAATTTACATAAAGACAAAATATAAAGAATGCCATAAATTTATAATTCGAAATAATATTATGTAGATTCCATTTTGTTAATTTATAATAACCTTGATAATATATTCAGTATGATATAATGAAATATAATTCAGTATAAAGAGTGAAACACTTAACAAAAACAAGCATATATTAATGGATGTATTATAATTAATCAATTACAAAAAATATTTCATGTATTAATATCCCAGTAAATATTTCAAAAGTTCTAAATTTTAATCATGCACAATTCTAAATTAAATGCTGCGAATAAAAGAATATTTTCTTAATTTATATTCTATGATTAAATAACATCGCCAAGCACAATTGCCTATATTTTCAAAATTCTCATTTATCAACTTATTATCAACTTATTTCAATACAACTTCTGCTATAAAAATTAATCATTTTTTAAATTAATTTTTGATAATTCATTGAACCATGATCGTGAAGTCATTACGGAGATGTTGTATTTGATGGCTCATATCATTGATTGTTCAAACTAGCATTTCGCATCGAAGCGTTTGCAATGTCGTGCATTAAAAACATAATTAAACGTTCAATTCCCAGCCTCGAGATCGATCGCGTAAATCTTGAGGCCCGCGTGCTTGTGCCTGATATGCGACGACATGTTGGATCGTTGCTTCGTCCGGTAACGGCAATACGGGCATTGAAATCTAGGATTCTTGCCGCATTCGTATTTGAAGTGTCGCCACAGAGCATTCCTCTGCTTGTAGATCTTGCCGCAATTCTTGCAGACATTACCCTGCAATGGTTGCTGCGGGCATGACTGCTGTTGCTGCTGCCGGTGCTGCTGTTCGGATGTCTTCTTCCAATCAAGCGGCTGCTGGAGGACCAGAATCTCGTGCAGCGTCGGGTATTCGGTCCAGTATGCTGCAAACAGGTCCGAAACGAAACAAATTTGTAAATTTTACGATCTGCGGGCAATGTATGTCTCGCAATTCATCTTTGTGAGTACCTGAGCATGCAAGGTCTCAGTTTCTCCCTCTTTTTATCTGATCCCTCTTACGCGATCTTCCAGCGGTTGGGTACTACGCTCTACGACTATAGCCCCTAACTAAATTATCATCTCAGAACATAGACAGCATTAGATAAAGTAACAAAGATAATAGTTAAAATGACTAAATTAAGTGACGGATGATTTTTGGGGTGCCCGACAGGTTAAATCTTCAATCGTTGCGTCACATAAAGTCTTCAGCGAAGGATTGTACAAATACTTTTAACATCCAATTGGTCGCAGTATCTTAATGTGCGGACTTTATCATGAATATTTACAACTTCGTACTCGCGATCTTATTTACAAGTTCTCCTCTCCGATAGGCGAATCTCCTAATAAATGAAAGATCTGAAGAGTAGACATGAAATAAAAGAAACAAAAAGTAGGGTGGATTTTAATTAAATTAACTGAAGAAGTTAGGAATATTATTCTTTGCGATGAAACAATTTTATGCGAGTTAATAACGATTGTTCGCTTTACTATCGCAGACGAGAGCATTCAATCATGTCAGAAGCGCTAAATGTAGCAGTGCAAAGAAATTAGTTTGTGTAATGCGTCGCATATATTATATATTATTAATTTATTGAAATAATGCCAAAATACAATATATAAAATATAACATTAATATCTTATATGAATATTCTCCCAGGAATACATGACACTTTCGTATTAAAAACCCATTTTACCTCATTTAAAATACTTTTTCCGACGGCCAATTGTTCCTCGCTAGACAACAGTTTTAGTGTATCGTAATAAAAAAATTACGATTACGATCGTAGAAACTGTGAATGCAACTAAGCTTACACTACTGAGATATTATAAATTTTAATTCACAATTGTTAACATACAAATTAAAACGATAATTCAATAAAATAAGCAAAACAAATGTAATTTGCACTTCGCAACAATACATACAGGGTGCTACGGATAAGGTGTCCATCCGCTCGTATACAGGTAGAAAGGGTTAAACTGAAAAGAAAAGTTGTGTACCATTTTGTAAAATTCGCAATACTTTTTGAGTGATAAATAAAGACGTCTGAGCGAATGAACGCACGAGAAACCTCGGCAAGCACGTTAAATGTCTTAAGGTCCAGTTTCACCAACGTTGTTAAACTTTAAGCTTAGCTTAATTCATTCTGTGTCTCTTTCCAACAGTTACTTTAGAAAGAGACAAACATGAATTGAACTGAGATTAAAGTTAAGCGACGTTTGGTGAAACCGGGCCTAAGGGCGAGTTTCACAAACGTCGGTTAACCGCTGCTAACCGAAGGTTAATTGATTCTCTGTCTCTTCTTAGATAATAAGATGGAAAAGGATAGGGAGTCGACTGAACCCTAGCTAATAGTTCACCAATGTTTGTGAAACTGGTCCTTATTCGTTTGGTCTCGTAGCAACGGTGGGGCATCCGATAGCAGGAGGTGGAGCGACGCACCGTAAAAAAGTTGTCACACAGCGAGCGGTTTAACCCGCTCTACCTGTATGCGAGAGGATGGACACCTTATCCGTAACACCCTGTACAAAATATATACTTTTAATTAATAAAATAAAATAATTACACTTCTTAAAACTATACCATATACATTTTTATATATATAGTTTTTTTATACCTTTGCTTATATGAAATATAAATTTCACGCGGCACGTGAAAAAAAACTTGGTTTATTTTTTGCGCGATAAAAGTCAGCAACGCGAGATCATAAATGAAATCGGGAACAATCACTGAGGCGGATACATGTGCATCCTGAACACGTGGTCGGTGAGAGTATCGGGCCTGGAGTAAAGTTTTCCGCAGTGCCGACATACACACTTCAACTTGGTCGGTCCGCAGGCGTATTTGGTGTGCCTGCTCAAGGAGGATTGACTCTTGTAGCATTTACCGCAATCCGGGCACTGATGGTCACCGTTGCCGACCAGCGCGTACGACACGTCTGTAACGAAACACAAAACGAAGAGACGTCAGTCCTCGCGAAGATCGCTTCAGCCCCTTGGACTGGGATACCTTAGAAATCAGAAATCAAAAATCGCGAGCACCAGAAGAAGGATGCGCAAGAAATTGTACTTGTAGATCCCTCGGATCTCCAGGAAAAGATTCAGCACGAAACAAAAGTGCCTTCCCCTCTGTAAGATTTTATTCCAACTTGT